ACGTATGTCTCGTATATGGTCGATTTTCGTGACGACGACGGTTTACAGAAGTGGTCGAAATTTATTACATCACTACGTAGGTAATAAATCACGGTGAAATTCTATTTCCCGCCTATTTTAAGTCATTTGATATCTTGATAACGGCAATTTGTTTTAAATTGTATTCAATGTATCGTTTACCGATGGTCGTTGGGTGAGATAGCGTCTAGTATAAAATATAAAAATATGGAGCGTCACTGTAATTCAATGTACTCGCTAAAAAAGTTGGAAGGTCGGGGTACTCTGTGAAAATTTCAGGTAAAATAACTTTGTGTAGATGCGAATGCTAAAAAAAAAAATCCTGATAAATAAAAAATATCCGTGTACTATACCACATTATATCCCAAGGTACGTCAAAAAGTCGGGAGGAGGTCATACATTTTTTTTTTCTTTTGAGTTTTATGATTTCCATCACTCATAAGTTTTTAGTAACTAGCCAAGTGTTAAGCAATAAAATAAAAGACAATTGTAGCTCATTAATGTAGTAGTGAAGTAAGATATGGAACTAAAAAAAGTATACTTGGCCACAATGTAGATAACAGTGTACTTTTGTAAAATGTTTTATTTTTGTTAAATTATTTTTAACTTGATCTTTTTTTAACAATTAAAATTTTGATGGGACTTATACATTTTCGTAAATAAACTGATGGTATATGCGGATCTTATGATAATTGGTGTCAAAAAACCATGGCCTGCACAGTGTTCGTGGCATGAAATATATTGTAGCGACTACAGTTATTTTCATTTTAAATTTACATTATTGACAAATAAATAATATTTAAAATTTTATGATATTAATATATATATTTTTTATACTTTCGTTCAAGATTTAATATGAGTTATAACGAAAAATTACGATACAATAAATAATCAAATATCATTCACCAAATCTTCGCCTTTTAACATACGACTTTTGAATAGTAAGCAATTATACCTGAAAAAATTAAGGTTAAAGTTGCTATGCTCTAATATAAAACGAAGTTTTAATATAATTTTTAATATATGCCTGTCATAGACGTGACATGTGTTGTATGATATATTTATACCCGAATCAGAAAATTATCATTATATTTTCAGGTACCTAATCGTAAATGAAAAATAAATGGAACGAAACTTGAAAAACTACAATGAGCTTTTCTGAGAATCGTTTTTAGAATGCAATGATTAATAGCTCTCAAATTTAAAACGACAGCGTACATTTTCTACACACATTCACAAGTAATATACTAAAAGTAACGTTTCCAAGTCTAAATCCCAACTGGATTTCAGCGAAACTAGAAAAGAGCTCTTCAATGAACTTATTAACTAATCTGCTTTTCATTCCGTAACTTAATATGACCTCATATTCTATAGCATATGGGCTTAATCTTTCAGAAACTTAATACATTATATTTTGTAATATTATCATTATATTCAAAATTTTCCTGAAATATCATTGATTTTTTTACTCAAGAAAAAAAGTACCTAATATGTTTTGATCGTTTGCATGTAATAATATAACTAAATTAAACTTTATTTCAGGAAAAAATATTATTATGATGGTTATTATGCTGTAAGCGAAATAAAATATTGGTAGGTGTTAGTATTTGAAAATAACTGTAACCCCACAATAATAACTACTGTAGACTATAATACTAAATGTTCGTGTTAAGTTATAATAATTATATTCCTTAATAGTCACCTTTTCTAAGCGAAACGTGTTTTATATTTATATTAGTGAATATTATCAAAATACATTTCTTAATACAAAATGATAATATACAATTTTAAAGTCACAAAAATTCGTTGAAATTAACTCATAAAAAATATCGTATCTAAAAATACAATTTCATGTTACATATTATTATTAATATTATTTAGGTAAGAAAAATAATGATTTTTTGAATTGTTGTGGTTGATTTATTATTATTTAATTTGACCCCTAAAGTGGTTATAATTCGTTAAATGTATAGGAGAAACAACTCACAACTTTTCACTCCAAACTGCATAAAATTACTGTTGGCATTATTATATCTTACAAAATACGATGCACGCACTTGGAACACTGCGTAGACATATCAAATAATGTACGCAGTAATTATAATTGTTGTTTCACTACTCCTTTACGCCATACCTATAATCGGAGTACACACGTATCATACTTATTTCACTTAAAAATAAAGTTTTTATTTATATATTCATTAAATGCGTATAGTTTATTGTTAAGTATGTTAAATTATTTTTATTACGCTACAGTGGTATTGATAAAGAATTTTATAATGATAATTTTATAAACGACATAACAAAGACTAATATCACTCACTGTGTAAGCTACAAAATTAAAAATCTCATGACTAATACTACATTATGTAAAATTAATCAAAATAATAAAAAAAAAAGTTTTGAAAAATAATTCAAGTTTATAACATCATATTGTCAATAAAATATAAATAATCTTGTAATTAATAAAATAAAGCCAAAATTAACAGATACTATATAGGTACAACTTAGCAACTTATAAAAAAAGTATAAACTTGATATTTTTAAATTTAAATAATATACTTATATATTATAATATGTAAAATTTAAAAATGACAAATCCACATTATTTTTAAAATGTTCTCTTTATAATTATAATTATTACAATTGTTATTATAATTTGATAACCACGAAAATTCCACTGGTATTTTAATTTATAATCTTATAATATACCTAATACAAACTTATTTACACGGTAATAAAGTTATTATTTAATGTTACTTTAAATAAAAAGCTAATACGTAAAATAAAATAAGACACAAGTTTAATAAAAATATTTATATTTTTTTTTTTATTTATTATGTTTAAAATAATTTAAAATATAATATCATGTTATTACAAGTTTTATATATTGTTTACATTCTATATATATTGTATTTATTTTTAAGTGTCATATTAGTAATAACAGTATTGATTTTAGGAGGTAACGACATTAAATAGTAAATAAGTACGTTCTGTGACAGCCGGGAGTCATAGACGTCTGTGTATTGTTTTTGGATCCAAGTTCGTAAGTTCGTACTAGCTGTCTATTTTTGAATAACAATATAATATATGATGTAATAGTTTTCAAAGAATAAAACAACGAATAAAAGGTTATTCCGAGATTTTCATTGATAGGTACTTAGAAAATGAAATAAATTATAAATAACATGCAATAGTAATTCAAAAGTATTACACAATAACACAAACGAACTTGTCATTTGAATATGGCTTATTGATGATTGATTCTAGTCGTTACCCAGAAATTCATTTTTTAACCAAAAATAAAAAAAACTCAAACGAAGAACTATAAATTCTTTTACGGTCATTTACGAAGCCATATACAACCAATACCCTTACAAAATACAGATAAGGCTCATTTAGTTACTATTGCTGTTTCAAATTAAATTATAAATCATGTATTAAATTCTTTATGTAAATTATAATATGCTTTCAAGTATTATAGTGTTTATAATACATAATTCACAAGGAATTTAATGAAAATGATGACTTTTTCATTAAATTTATGATTATATTTATTCAATTAAAATGTTTAATAAAACGATATATCGATTATGTGTTTATAGTTTAAACAAGAATTATATTTAATGTTTATCGCATATTATGTTGGTTTACAAAATTATATATTATAAAGAAACTAAAAACATATCTTATTAAATATGCTATACAAATATACAATAATATGTTAATTCATGTGTGTAATATATTTTAAATGCCGAAGAAAGCAGTGTACGTACGTACTTAAGATTGAAAAAAAAAACAAAATTTTATGAACTAAAAATAATTTTTTAAGTCAATCAAAAAAAAATAATAATAATATTGTCGATATCATCTATAAAAATGAAGTGTGAAGAATTTTTCTTAAACAAATGTTATGTTTTTGAAATTATTATTCCGTTAAAAAATATTACACAAAGAAATCTTCAAGTGTTAATTTCTTATATAACAAACTATTAATACCCAATAAGAAAAATGAGAAAAACTAATTTATGATAATAATACTGTTTAAGTGAAAAGGTATTGTTTGTTTAACTGTTATGAAAATTTGACTTTCTGCTCAAATTGAAAATATAGATGAAACTTAACCACGCAAATATCAAAATCATGTGATCAAGTGTTTTAAATTACATGTATATATAACACAATTTTATTAATGAATCACGTTTTTTTTTTTTTAATATTATTAAAATCAGTTAAATATTAGTGCAATAAATTCAATTTTTAATAATTGTTTTTCTTCCTACAATAGTAATTTAAATATTTACATCTTAGTTATTCAATATAAGATGTTGAATTCTTAAAAAAAAGTATTGATTTTTTTATAGACTTTTAATTTTATTAGATTAATTATATAATTAGTTATTAATATAATTTAATTTTTCATAATTTCTATATTCAAATAAATTCTTATTATTATACTTTAAACCGATTAAAATATACAATAATATATATATATATATATATATATATATACAATTACTATTTATTTGTAACACTAATAACATCTAATAATTTAATTTATTGTTAAAATAAAGGCAATTTATGTTTTTTTAAATTATATTAAATAAATAAGATATAATAAATTTACATTTATAAAATTGTATAAAATAACTTATATACATTTATTGAGAAAATCAGGTGTAACACTTTGTTATAAAATCCATTAGATATATAACCATTATATTATTATGTTCTATATTAGCGTTAAAATGCTACTACTTTTATTATTAACTTTTTTGTATTCAAAACCTACAATACCAAAATATTATAGTATATCAAGTGCGTGCATTGTATTAAATATGTACTAATTTGATTGAAACAGATAATTTTGAATAACTTAAGGTTCAAAATTATGTTGATACAAACTTTTTGATTTAAATTAAATATGCTTAAGGTACATTGTATTGATTTTTTTTCATAAAAATGTTTTATTTAAATTCCAGGGTTATATCGAGGCCGTTCACGTACAAAACACAAAGTGTTGTTGGTACAGTAACATAACCACACTCAATAATTGTGTACAGCGGTCTATATAGATGAATAGCAAGAGAAGGCAAGTAAAAATTCACATTTTTTACACGTTCGATTATACAGTAAATACTTTATGCTTAATAAATTAGTCTGAATACATAAAAGTCTTGGTTGTATTTTTTTTATTTTTTTTTTTTGAGGGGGAACGATTGAACATACTTATTAAAATTATCATGTGGCTTCTACAATTATCTAAAACGAGATTTATCTTTAAAATTTTATTTTTTTTATACTTATCTACTAAAATAATGATGACTATTACATTCAAATAACATAAATCCATACCATAAAACGGTAGTATTTATCTAGTAAGAAAATAATAAATATGAATATATAATAATCTTAGACACGAAAGATGCTTAATTTTAGGAATAAGTTTAATTATGAAAATCTATTCCAATAAATAAATGGTAATTCTCAAACAACAGTATCTAGTATTATAATTTATGAAAATCAGTAAATAAACAAGTATATTTTGTATAAATCTACTGATTTAGTTTTAATGTTATACTTATCTTCTTAGTCAAATTATATGTTTTTAATTTATTATTTATTTATTTATTTATTTATTTTTTTTTTTTTTTTATCATACTTTGATAAATATATCAAAACCATAGACTTTGTACTGTTTTTTTAGAGTCAATATTTTTTATGCTTAGAAAAAATATATTGAAAATGTATAATATAGTTGGTGAAATTTTAGAAAGAATCAGAAAGATTACTCTGCAAATGTTTATTTAATAATTTTGGTCCCATTATATAAAACTGGTTAAATGTTTGATTTTTTAATTGTAACATATTAGTAAATACAAATAATTAGAACTATAAAAAAATTAATAACTCATAAATGATAAAAAAAAAAAAAAACTGCATGTATTAGATGATAGTATAGTGCATTCTTGTTTTATATTTTTGGGATTCCATTATCTCATGGTTCTATATTTTAATTCGTAGTACTTAATAATTAATATATATTTAAAATACATTTTTATCTCCGTTAACAAATTCTTTTATTATTCCGTATCAAATATCGGTATAACCATACAATACACATAATATATATTTATATGCATTATACATATACAGATGGTCATCAGAATAAGTTAATCAAGATTTTCTGAAGCACCACTGATAAAGATATCTAGATATCTAGAGAAAGACCAAAATACTTGACATGTCACGTTAGCTAAAACCCGAATTCAATTATTTAAGGTTATAATGAAATTTTAAGTTCAGTTTAAACATTAACATTAAACTATTACCTTTTGTTTACGAATTAATTGAACTACTAAACGTATACAGTCGTTTTATCATTTATATGCACACCATGGCATCATATTACAGGGATTTAAAATAATATAGACTATATAAGTATAATTCATCTGGTTAATATATGTTATGGTTGTATTAACATTGTATTTTAGCATTGTGTCCATTCAGATAAAGGGGAAAATGGTGGAGCCATATTATTCTGGTCGTTACACCAACTGGTCACCAAAACCAGTGTCATAATAATAATAATAATAATAATAATAATAATAATAATAATAATGATAATATCGTAATAGAGTTTTAGCACAATATTTATTTCTAAAATCGATGCTAATACAATAATACTATATGATATACTACTGAAATGATTGTATTAGTATTGTTATTCGTAGTTATGTATATTAGAACCCAAGACATTTTTAAACTTTTAAATTTTATAATATTTTCCTGCTTTTAAGTATTCCATTATGAGGTATAGTGAAATTAAATATTTTATAGTAGGTAAGACGTAGACGTTTCCACAGCTTACTGATGTGAAAAATATCATAATATTGATTACTATATTCGTAATTTTTTTTTTTATTTAAAATATAAAAAATATACCAATGAAATAAAAAGACAGTAGTCTTAAATTAATTGAGCATTACTAAAATTATAAATTATCGATGTATTTAATAAGATTCACTAGTAAAATATAACAATAAATTACCAACATAATTTTGAGAAATATTTCTAATACTCTAGTACCATTTATCACAGAAGTATTTAAATTATAGTTTAGTCACAAAATCTCAAGCATCTCATTTAATATTAATATAATATTATTGTTTTTTTTTTTTTTTTTTTTTTTTTTTTTTTTTTTAATATCTACCTAAATAGAAATTATTTAAATTATAGTTTAAGTATTAAATAATTTTCTTCTTCAAACAAACAAATAATCTTGCCAGAATCTGCCAGTGACATTTAGGCGTTGTTTTGAAATATTTTACTCTGCCATTGGAAAATTACAATAGGCTCATGATTTACCCTTATTCACACCTACGCACAACCTATGTGCTTACACAGATATATGGACGTGAGCAATAGAATACAAACTCAAACAACGGATGATTACCTTATCATGATACTATTTTAAAAATAGCATTAATTATTCTTTAAGTATAATAAACTTTTATATGATTTCATTAGCAATCATGAATAAAAAATCATGAGTTACAACATATTTACAATGTCTGTTGAAATTTCGGTAACATATTAATAATATGTTGATTACAAATTGTTAGTCTAATATATTCTTGACAGGTGAGACCTGTCTACTTAAAATATATATCCGATATATTTTTTCTATTAGTTTTTTTCTTTTATTTTATTATTATTATTATTATTTAATAATAACACGCCAATCTATATACTATAGTTATAATAAAAGTTATAAAAATATGCAATAACTCATACAGGCCCCAGTTATTTATATATATAAAAAAATAAAAAATAAAAAATAAAAAAAAATATGACGTCAATATTATACATTTAAATCTACCATAAAAATTATATTTATTTTATTGTAAAATTAAAACTAAAATGTATTAAATAATCTAAAAAAAACAAAATTAAATATTTACTAGTTTTTATTATCATATTTATAACAATTTAAATAAATATACTCACAAATAACATTATAATATTTTAATCTAAATTAAAAAATCGTTCAAAAATTCAACATGAACATTTAAAAAAACATTTTTTTTAAAAATACAGATTCGTTTAAGAATGCAATTTTTTATCATTTATTCAAATTTATAAATACTACACCTCAACCCTGAATCAATGTGAAATAAGATTATGATATTTTCATACGTACCTAATACTTATCTACATTACTTATGATACGTGACACGGCGTTATGTATAGGCAATATAGCTACTTAATTATCTAATAACATTTTCATTTAATATTCGATAATAATTTATTTTTATAAACTTTAATACATCTCTATGATTAATCAATTTACATATATAATGAATATATATATATATATATATATATATATATATATTATTTTTTTTGCTATTAATATTATCTTTTTTAATAATGATTAATTAAGTCAATTTCATTTACTAGATTTAACAATGTAATTAATAGAAGTTGTTAATCTTAGTATCTGAAAATTTATGATCTAGATTGAAAAATACTAAACAGATATTTACCGTTATAGCTGATTTTTATGGCTTGAATATTAAACCTTTTGTATTACATATTTTCGAACAGTTGAATAACTTATTTATATATCAAATGAGGAATAGGCCTCAACACACTCACCCATTGAAACATAAATAAATAATCTGTACAAGACAATAATATGCAAACTTATAAATTATTTTTGTACTCATTTAGTGTAACTATTTAATAAAATGTTTATGTTTGTTAATTAGATTTGAATTTTAAATTATTATTCAATGATATGTTACATATGATTTAAACAATTAGATATTTGGTTTTTACACAATTTTTAGTTTTATGCTTATGTAATTAAATATTTAATAATATATAATATAATATATAATTATATATTTAATATTTTTTAATGCATATAAATTAAAAACTTAAATTTAAATTTAAATCAAATAATAGTTTTGTTATAATATGTCATAAATTATATTTAATTTTCAAGGTATATATTATAATAATATGGTATCTCAATTAGTGTTTTGATCTTATAACTTCAAGGTAAATTTCTTTTTAAATAACGTAGATATGAACGAATTATTATGTATATATTTCTAAAATACTGATATTTATGTGTTTAAAAATAATTCTATAATCTGCGTTTAAAATGTACGTGTCCCATACATAGTTTACACCATGATTAAAGAAGCCTCAATACGTTACTCAAATACCTACTTAAAATTTCAATAAAAAAATAAATATGAAGTGTACTTTTCCGTTTTAAAAGAGAATAAAAATAACATTTAAATAAAATAAATGATAAACAAATTAAAACTAAAATTGGCTGACATCATAATTTATGGGATAGTTTAAGTCAAACTCATTGAAAAACACTTTTATAAGTATTTCAAAATATGCAAATTGTAACAATATTTGAGTTGACACAAATGCATTATCAAAACACTAATATTATCTTGATAACATAATTAAAGTACTTCATTTGAGATTTTAAGTTTAAAAGTGATCATAAATTTATTTATTTATAACATTTAATACTTAAATAATTAAAATTGTTTTAAATTAAGTTACATGTGTATTATTTTATTAAATAGTTTATGCCCAAATGCATATTAAACAATAAGCTATTTATTTAATTATTTAAGAATTTCATAGTTCATTGATGAATAATTTTCTATTAATATGTTTAGAAACGTAATATAATATAATTTTAAAGTATTAATTTTTAAATAATCTATACTAAATAATTGGCTATACCAACAACATAATAGTTTAATATCAATTTATTTATCTGATTATTATTATTCAGTTTTTTTATTATTATTATTATTATAAAACTCTATTCAAATAACAGTATTACTACAAAAATTTCAAAATTGGTCTTAAAAAAAAAAAAAAAAAAAAACATTTTTGATTTCAACGTATTAAAGTAGAAAAGTATATTTGTTTAAGTTCTAAAGTACCAATTATTTTTCTTTCGTTTAACACAAACGTTTCAAACCACCAAGTCATTAACCACTACTTGGTTCTTTGCAAACAAAAAAATAAATTACGTAACTTA